CTCCTCCTAGTACTACTACTACTACTACTACTACTACTACTACCACTGCTATCACTACCAAGTACTAGCTTACTACCTACGAACACTACACTTCCAACTAACTGCCAGTTATGACAAGTAAGGACTACTAGCTACTACTGCTACTGCTACTCGTACTGCTAGTACTACTACTACTACTACTACGACGACTACGACTACGACTACTACTACTTACACTACTTACTAGTACTAGTACGAGTACGAGTACTAGTGCTAGTCCTAGTGCTAGTACTAGTACTAGTACTAGTACTAGTACTAGTACTAGTACTACTACTACTACTACTACTACTACTACTACTGCTACTACGACTACTGCGACTGTTGCTACTTTCTTTATTCTTCTTCTGTTATTACTACTACTACTACTACTACCACCACCACCACCGCCGCTGCTGCTGCTGCTGCTGCTGCTACTACTACTACTACTACTACTACTAGCTACTACCAAGGGTCGCGAACTTTTTGGTGTTTCTTACAGGCTTCTAGATTCAAGACCATGATAAAGAACATCCACACTCGCATGTCGCCTTTTTTGCGACATGAGCTCCGACACGCTTGTCCCACCGTTCGGGTTGCGAAGTTTGAGCTTTGTCGAGTCACGAAGGAATCGATCGAAGTGGACGGTACATCGTTTTGTATGAGCGTGGACACCTCTCGTCTTTTTCAACTCGAAAACACGGCACGCAGGATCCTCGCACAGGGGTCCCAAAGTCGAGGATTCAAGTCATCTCAGGTCCCCAACCCTAGAACGGCCAAGTGCACGATGCAGCGTTCTTATCGAATCGACACCTCCAACGCCCCAAAACGCGACACGCAGGATCGCCGCAGACGCCCACGAAATTCGAGCATATCCGAAAACCCGAAGTTCCCCGAACATCGCAAACACCGACGAATCGTGAAAACGACATCGACGGAACACCATTTCCACCGAAGGTTCGGCGCATTCCGGCTGCTGCTCCAAAAAACGTTTCTCCCTTACTGGCGCGATTTTCACGTCCAACGCCGAAAATCCTCGCCGCGCCTAGGGAAAACACAACTTTTTTCACATGCCATCCCATGACTTCCTGAAACAGGAGGCGCCCACGCATGAAGGGTTGCAAACTCGAACAATCGTCCGACAACGAAAGTGCCTCAGACCTCGTTTTTGTTTTTTTACGATGGTTCCTGATAGGCCCCAATCCTTAGTAGCAACGGCACCACAGAGCCATTCACCTGACCCCCACGACGCATAAGTTTTTGCTAGGGATCGTCCACTTTTTGCATAAACCCTCGTAGCAAGCGAGGTGCAAGACTTCTTCGACCCCCAAAATGCCTGAAACCTCGTTGCCACTGATGTGCTTCTAAACTTTCTGATTTATATCCGCATATAAGCAGGACACTCTCAGTTTATCTGAATGTAAGTAGGACAGTACTAAATAGTACTAAGCTCAATTAATAAAATACATGAACCTTTACTAACCGACGAACCCTCCAACGAAGAACCCACGCCGAGCTGTCCGGAACAAGTCGCCACTAAACTGTAGCAATCCCTTTTGCTGACATCATGATTCTGTCATCTAGCTTCATGGTAGTTGAGGACTTTGAGCAGCCGTGACTGCTTCAGAGCTTCAGGTGACGAATTGGAGAGGAGTTGCGAAAAGGGTTTGGGACCTGCTGCTCAAGCTTTGGCAGAATTGGAAGAATGGCTTCAAGTTACAATAAGTCACAGGCAGCAAGGCCGCGGCGCGTAGCTGGATGATGATCATGGTGATGATGAAGCCGAGAGAAAAGATGATGCTGAAGGTAGACACAGCAAATTGCACACGTTCACTTCTCATCAGTATTATTCTATTGCGACCATAATCTTCATGTGTTAGCAGCCAGTCGTGATGGGGTAGTGGTGATGGTCATACTTTCATTGCTAGCCAAAGCGACCCACGGCAGGGCTGCGGCGGCAAGGCGTCGAGGAGGGCCAAAGGCTGCCACTTGAAGCCCCTCACAGGAAGAGGAGTAGGGCAAGACTTCGTGCAGCTACAAAGTCGGAACTGTGATGAAAAGTTACCTCGACTACCACCAACACAACCATTAATCCCTTCGCCAACCGCACAAAGCCCTCAACCCTCACCAGAACTCAACCGAAAGCCTGAGAGGCTTGATGGGGACTATGACTATGTCACCTTCAATACAAGTGGGGATCTTTTGCAATGGATCGGCGAGTCAGAGATCGGTCAATGGGTTGCTCCTGGGAGCAGACGTGGTGTTGTTTCACTTTTTAGTGCCAAGGCCTGAGGAATAGATTGTTAGATTGAGATATCCTCAGGTGTATGGTGTACGAAAGCAGCTATGCGAAGCCATTGCATCTTCCGTTGGTAGAATGGAAGCCAGACAAGCACACAAGTGCATGATAGCTGCAGCGTTGGGCAGACAACTGAACATGTACATATTTGGAGGCTGCTGGGAATAACGACGTAGTGAGTATGCCTGAGCATAAAGGCGCACACACACACAGACAAACACCATCTCGCGGCATGATGTCTACTCAGCACAGGCACAGAGGCCCTCACGACCGGGTCACAAAGGGCAGCCGTAGCGCACAAACCTCTCGCGGCGGCGCAGATTTCAGGCTGCCTGTGGCTCGTTGCATGTGGTTCGTGTAGGGCTTCGGCTTCAGGTTTAGGGTTTGAGTCAGGTATTGAGGTTTCAGGGTTTCAGTCCTTCCTACCTGTATTGAGCAACCGCCTCTTGACGCATGTTCGTCTTATCAGAGGACCGGTGACCGAGGCTTTGGGCAGTCTCCTAAAGCAGCAAGCTTGCCTCTCACCACTGCGGAGGAGAGTTGGACCTACAACCAAAGTAACCAAAGACCCCCCCAGCCCTTCCAGCTCCATGCCTTGCGGTGGCATGGGCCATGAAGTGCTCATGACGCGGTAGACCGTGAGATTGATGCACCCAGAGGCCTGCGACAAGAGGAGCCTCCTCTTGGACTCGCAGGGCATCGGGTTACTCTGGGTTCTGGTAGGCCTGTTTTTCGAAGGAGATTCGTGCGCGTTGCAGTTTTGATGTCTAGTGTCCAAGGCTTAGTTTCGGGGTGTTGGGCTCTCTGCAGTGAGGTGCAACACGATCTCAAAGTCGTCCAACTGTACCTAAATCCTCTGCCCTGTTGCAGGCGGATGTCTGATCAACGGCACATGAGTCCAATGAACAGAGCGCCCGTCCGCCTGAGGAAAGCATTGCGCCGTGAACTGCTCTGCCGTGCGCAAGGTCGTGGCCTGGCGCTCGAAACTCCGCTGGCAGAGTCCATGTCTACGTCGTGCTACGCGTGCTTCTATGTCGTGTCTACGTTACGACCGGTGCAAGCGGGCTTGGGCGAACCACGGCGCGAAGAGGAGGCAAGCGGGTGAGGCCGGCCACATTGCCATCCTGACACGCGGAGACATTCAGCCGGAGTTCAAGCACCTTCGTCCACCGGCTGTTTCCAAGGAGGACATCTTGGTAAGAACCGTAGCGACAGCGATGCAGTTATCGATAACGAGTATGATATTCGCGAGTTTCCATGCAAACCATGGTTGCAGTCTTCAGTATCATCGTAAGGTTTTGCAGCACAATGGGCGGCCATAATCACACCAGGCTATTTGTCCGGAGATCAGCATGTACGAGCAGGGGCTTCCGGCTTGAAAGGATTTGCGATCTCCCAAACCGCTCACCAAAGTCTGACTACCCCCCAGGATCTTGCCTGAAGCCGCCTCTCAAGCCTAGAAGTATCACCACGAAGACGACGACGACGACTACGACAACAGTACTGGGTAGCGGCACAAGTAGTGTTAAGGCTACCACTACGTCAACTGCCATGACTTTTTGGTACATGCAGTTTGACCAGTGAACGGAGACATCCCTGTCAGGGCCCGGCAATGTAGAGCCCACTGACGGAAGACCAAACAGCACCTGCGCAAACACCAACTCCGCTTGTCAAGCCGCACCGGGGCAGCCACTGTGAATGGTGTTTCGGTAAGGACAATGGACTTCTCTCAGTTTGCAACTAAGCTGCTGAAATTGGGCAATCAATGCATATACATTGTGCTACAAGCCATGGCACCACAAACATCAGGTTGCTCCTTCCAAGTAGCGATATTTGCTTTTCTTATCTCTGCACTTCTGCAGTCTCGTTGCTGACATCAAGCAGAATCAAGCAGATGATTCCAGCAGCTCTAAGTCCGCCAACGCCCTCCCAGTCTTGAGCTGCTCTGAAGTGCGTCAAGGCATACGAAAACGAGAACAGACTCTCACAGCCCGACATTCAAACTCGAGGGACAGCACCGTCGGCCAACAGCCCAGTAAGGATCAAGTCGCTGTTGGCCAGATCCTGCCGGAAGCACTGGTCTGTGCAAACGTACATGCATATGAAATAAATAAACAGCCGTATAGAAACAACAAACATATATATATATATATGTATGCTACCCCCCCCTCAAGGATCTACCGTTTTCGTGTGTTTGAGAGCCGCAGGCAGAAGACATGAAGATTCGTACGGGTTTGTACTTGTGTGGACAACATGCCTTTTGCGAAGGAAATAACAATAGACTGCGATCCACAGTATTCGTTAAATACTACAAACGAGCACAATTGCACACACGTGAAACACCTAAGAGCCAGGAAGCAACTATTCGGCTTCGTGTCACTGAAATACTCACTTGAACTACGCAGTAACCGCAGACTGGCGAGGTATCATGTAAGCATCATTAAAGATTCCTTGCATGTTCGGTATCTATCAATCGTTAATATTGCCCTCTGCTCATGAGCTATCCCCTAAAATTGCCTGAATATCAATAACGCGT